GTTAAGCTGACGTTTTCATTGAATTTCACATAGCCTTGCTTTCCCAAAAGTTGTTCTCATCCAGGGTGGATTGCAGTTTCGACCTTGCATCGGGCTTATCAACAACTTCAATGGGAGTCGAACTGCGACAGTGCGGCATGGGAGCTTGACACGCTGACCACTCGGCTACACTGCCACGAGCGCCTTTTGGGTCACAGGGCAAATGCAAATTTTCAAGAAACGCCAGGCCTTTTGCCATATCATATTCTTTTAGCGGAATTATCGGTGAAGTAAACGTATATCTGCTATAACAATCGACTACTATACTTTATTTTTTGAATTAAGTATTGTTTTCGTGACTACCAATAAGTCAGTAATATGAGATGTATTCACCCAATTTGATTTAAGGTGCTGAAGGACTGGTGGAAGAAGAATTTTTCCACAAAATAAAATATATTAATCGATTGTTATAGCAGATATACGTTTGCTTCATCGACAATTCCACCAAAAGAATATGATATGGCAAAAAGTCCTGGCCTTCCTTGAAAATTCACATTTGCCCTCTGACCCAAAAGGCACTCGTTGCAGTGTAGCCGAGTGGTTAGCGTGTCAAACTCCTATCTTGCACTGTCGCGGTTCGACTTCCGATGAGAGTGTTGATAAGACCAATTTGAAGTCGAAACTGCAGTCCACCCTGAGTGAAAACAACTTTTGGGAAAGCAAGGCTATGAGAAATTCAATAGAAACGTCAGCTCAACTCATATCATTGTGGAAAAATTCTTCTTCTACCAGTCCTTCATCACCTTAAACGAAATTTGGTGAATACATCTCATATTACTAATTTACTGGTAGTCACGAAAACAATACTTAATTATCCGCCATTGTTTGGAGGCTAAAGGAGTCTTCCGAACTAAAATTTGCCTAAATTAGGTATTAATTCTAATTACTAAGTGCAATTCTGCAATGTTTCCTTAAGCCTAAATAATACCAATCAATCTTTGCTTTATATGGAAAATTCGGCCTAGAAATAACACAAAATCTATAGATTATTCCACATGATAAGAGCAGAGTTTCAAAAAACGAAGGTAGATGGCTTGTCTTGCCAGTAGATCTTCCATAAGTACTGTATTCACCCTAGGTCGCATAAATTGTTGAAGGGCTTATAGTTTAATTTTCCTACAATAGACCTTATCACAATGTGATATAGGAAAGGCCTGGCCTTCCCTGAAATTCAAGTCTGTCCTGGGAATCAGGTGCATTCGTAGCAGCGTTGCTTAGTGATTAATGTGTCTAGAGTATACGCTGCACTATCACTGTTCGAGTCCTGCTTGGCCGGTTGATCAGGCCTAAGCGAGGTCGAAATTGCCGTCCACTCCAGCCTAGATGAGAATACCTTTTAGAAAGCAAGGCTATGTGAAATTCAATAAGAGCTTAAAGTTGGAAGAATTCAACTACCAATTCGTGTTGAGGAGACTTTACTTGCGTATGAAAGTGCATAAAGAAGAGATTCGAAGGTCAATCACACCATAAGACGACGGCTGATTCCCGTTGTACTATAGCCGTTTGGTTTTAATATGACGTTCAAGTTGACACAGTCCATAAATGGGTGAAAATGGGCTCAGCTTTTGTCGATCATATGATGGAAATTACCAGAGATTGAACTAATTATTGTAAATGTCTCAAGTTGACACTTGGTCAAGAAGATTGCATGGCCATATCTCACCTCTTATATATACTCATAAATAAAAACGAAAATTTATAGACATGGTTAGATATAGAATGGTTTGGCTAATCATCTTTTTTATTGGACATGTCACTCTTACTTGGGTGTGTGTGTGCTAACGTCTATGCACAATACCGATCCTAAATAAGAATGATTATAAAAGCCTAATTTCGGGCTCAGGTCAACAAGGCTTAATAATCCAAGGAGTAAGATATAGCCGGACAGTCTTCTTGATCAATTGTTCACTTGAGACTTTTACAAGAATGAGTTCCAACTCTGAAGATTTCCATCATATGATCGACAAAAGCTCAGCCAGTTTTCACCTGAAATGAGTGAGGATGTCTTGTGTACAGCGTTAGCACTTTCATGCTTAATGAAATTCTCCTCAACACTGTTATATTAGGAGATTGATCTAAACCCTGTTATTCTTCGTACCCGTCCTCCATCGTCTTAAACCAAATAGGGTAACTACAACTCTTTTATCATCCAGAGTTGATTAAATTATCGAACTCTTCTTAGTCTCACTATTTAAGAGGCAATGAAATGCCCATTTTATTGTGGAAAATTCAATCATTAGTCCTAATACATCTTTGGCAACCTTATGTGTCTAAGGGTGGGTTTAACTCGTTTTTGCAACTTGGTCTTGTTGTCAGGGCGACACACATGTATACATATAAAGGAGACCGCCAACATACCGAGGGCCACGCTATCCTGATCTTCGATCATGTGGTGTTCGCTTAAGGTGTCATTTAACCAATCATATTTCTGTATTATTTCCTATAAAATTCATTTTGATGGCCCTTATTTTCTGTAAGCACCCCTTTGCTTATTTCACACATGCATACATACATACATGCATACATGCAGCTGAATAAAAAAGGGTGATATCACAAAATAATGGAGCAGTTTGTAAACACACTTTCTATAGAAAAGCTTCATATATATGAAGAAAAGTTGTGTTTTTAATAATCACTCAGTAGAGGGATGCTAGTATACCTTTCATTCGTTTTAAGAGTACGGTGAAAGGGATTCGTAAATTGGCTTCATCTGAAACTTTTAAAACCAAATGGAAGGTATGCCAGCATCAGACTCATTTATAGTCTCTTCAAACCACTGGTACCACTTCGGTAATAGCCGAAAATTTAAAAAATAATTCAGCTTGGTACAAGTGATCTCGCTCTTAAACATGAAGCCACAAACATGGATTGTATCACCTTGACAGCGAGACGTATTTCTTAACGAATAGTCACTATTGTCGTGAAGTCTGGTGAACAAAATTGTTGTATCTGAACGGGCTTACACCCATTTCATACACCACTCTAAGCGATTGTAAAGATTTAGATGAGCTCTAGGCTGTACTTCCCATAGATGGACAAGCATGCATCGACTTCATAGTTTGACGAAGCATAGTAACATATCAGGCCTTCTCAGCTCCATAGCAAGTTACTCAGCCACACGGTCCACAACGAACTTAGCAATTGGCCTAAGAGCAGCAAAATAGCAAGTTGTGGTTAATCTTGCAAGCCATTGTCATGATGGATTAGTTTTTAAATTGTTCACAGTTTTTCGTTGCTGCTTGATAATCGGGGATTTACATTTTAGTTGCCCATGCTTAATTGAATAGAAGCTTGGAATATGCCCTTAATTTCCATGAACATTTAATTCCAAACTGAGTTGCTTATTTGAGCACATTAATCGTAAATTTGTGATAGGAACCGCCCAATTGGAGTCACATAATTGAGGGAAGAAGCTAGTTATGACAAGATGCTCATGATGCTGGATGGATTGTGCATCGGCCTTTGGCCGCAGTAAAAATACTCGACTGGTACAGAGATTTACACATAATCTTAATGAGCCTGATATACTACATGATATCCTAATGTTGTCACGGCGAGTTAGTGACGTCGATCCACAATGGGAAAGGCAAGGCGATATATAACACTTGTTTCGGAGGGAGTGAGTGTAATTTGCCATTGCGCGATAAAATCAAAATAGGTGCTATGTACACACAAGGATATGTGCAAAGATCAGTTCAGAAGCGAGTTACCTCGTCATCAGGCAGACTTTCGCCAACTCGAGTCCCTCTCGAAGTTGGTGGACTGAAGGTGACGACATGCTGCTGAGAATTGCTTGTCTTTCGGTTGCCCCAGTGAGGCTGTGTTTTGTCGATTGAACCACCAAAAGAACGAGGAGAATGAGAATAAGTGGAAAGACTATGGCCTATAGTTGGTGGTGACGGTGGATACCTTGGCAACTTCATTAGTTGTGGTGTTGGCACTGGAGATGAGGATGACTGTGCAGTGAGTGATAAAGGGGGTAGTTGTAGCCTTAATTGCAATTTCATTAGAGGCGATGGTGATGGTAGAGATGATGGAGATGACAATGCTGGTGGTGACGCTGATATTCTCATTAGTGATGGCGGCGGTGGTAGATGTGGTGATGATGGGGGCGGTGATGGTGATGATTGTGGTAGAGAGATTGCGGGTGATGGGGAATGCGAGAAGAACGAATGAGTAGGAAGTGAAGTGGGGCCATTATGGAAGCGTGGAGATGCAGGCCAAACGTCAACCATAGTCTCATCCTGGTAGCAAATACGCCCTGGACCGTTCTGTGAGTACCGTCCATGTTGGCATCGTTTCACCTGTTCTGTAAGCGACCGGACGACCAGTGCCCGTTTGGAGCCAACCTGAAACATGTTGGTTGTTTGGGTTTTTCCTGCAGGTCGGGAACTGTAATAGTGCTCTTCTAGCCGACGCTGAAGGGCTTGACCGCAACGACAGGTAATTAAGCGTAGAGTTGCCAGTCGAAAGTTGGGCATTCGAGAAAGGTAGAGAAAAAAGTTGGCCGTGTACTGCAGAAAGAGGAGGTTCCATCCGATGTCGGATATGTTATAGGCCAAACGTGTTAGCATGGAGCCTGTATCGTGCGGGAGAGCCGTCTGGTAGATAAAGGCAAACATATAAGCCACCGTCTGTGGAAGGGCGCAGATCACAACTATTGTGGAGAGTAGAAGAAGAAGAATGGAGGCAGATACCTCTTTTCTGCCAGTTGTGAACTTGCAGGTCAGCTGTTTGCGCAACAACGCATTCTGTCGTAGACGAATCAGAAGAGCCAGATTGAAGGCGATGATGAGTACCGTCTGGAGGAATCCAGCATTTGCGAACAATACATGATAGAGCTGAAGGAAGGTCTGGTCCTCCGTCAGCCAGCAGATCACCTTGTTTCCCTGGGTTGGATAGAGCCCGGTACTGATGCCAAATGGCAGCATCATGACCCCGCTGACCAACGTGATGGCCAACAGCATCTGCCAAGCTCGTTTCTGCGGCAACCGCGAGAACTTGAGTGGCAGATAGATGGACATGCAGCGATCTAGGGTGGTCAGTAAGAATATATTGTTGCCGAGGCAAGACGTGAAAGAGTAAGCCCAACGGTGTATACGGCATTCCGTCCAGCCCGAGTAAAAAGTGAAGAAATATGTTTTCCCATCAGTCGCGTACGGGATGCCTTTGGCGGGGAAGACCCAGAGCCAGCCGAACAACAGGATTGTGAGGCCGTCGCTGACCGCCAAACAGGCTAAATATATCATTTGTCGCGTCGGAGTTCGAAAGCAGCGCAGAAAGATGAATGCCGTCAGACAGTTGACCAACAGACCGAGAAGCCCGATGACAGGAAAAATGTAGGCCGATAGTACGCCAAGTATACGCGAGAGAATACAGGCTGTCCAATCTGTATGTTCATTTTCCAGCTTTCTGATGTGGAAGCAATCGCGAAGTAGATCCCAGGGCGAATCAAGGTAGGGCCACTGGGGATCTTCGTTCGCCATCGTCCGGGTCGCACTACACTCCACCGCCCTCGCCAATTAAGATTTCGGCATACTACTTATTTGGACAGGTGGGCTACAAGGGCAGAGAGAACGAAGACGATGAAGCATAAAAATAGCGACTAGGGCCTCTAGTCCCTTGCAAGAAAAAGGCAAAATAATCTGTGGACATACACATTTTAGTCCAGTTGTCAACTTTTTTTATCACCCCCGACGACGATAATGGTTGAGGTTGGGTCTAAGGCGTAGGCAAAGGTGTTGTAAAAGAATAAAAAAACACAAGTCGGTGATGACAGTTGATATGGCGGCACCGAGGCTTTTTGATTTTCTACCTAAGTGACCTCACACCGGCCAGATTGACAGAATCGGATTATTTTAGAAGAAATGATTGTCTGCAAAACGTTTCTACGGGGCCAGTTTTGTCGACATCGGCACAAATAAATGACCATTATGATAGAAAATGATCTGGTAAACTAGAAAGTTAATCACCATGGTTGGTAAAATGATGGAGTAGTCTTAATAGCTCATCTCAGTTGAACTTCTATTTACACGTTTTATTTATGTCGTCTCAAATCTCAAGATTTTATATACAGCTGCATGCCCAATTGTTTTCATCTAAACTGAACTCACCTACATTATTATGCATGTTCCTGAGTGTCCGCATGCCTAGAGAAGACATAATTGTATCTACCTGAATCAACATTGGTTAAAATAACTTAAATATATACACGATGACACAATGGGACGATAATGCATGCATGCATTTTACTTCATTTTTATTTTTTGTGTCTACGGCAAATGGTCCTCGAAATCGGCAGACCCGTGCATGTCTGCAGCAGGGTTCATCTTGATCATATCGAGGCTTGCCTCCAGTTGCTAGGACGGATCTCCAGCTTAATATCATACCACTTGGGCGTCTACCCTTAAACGCCCGCTTGAGCTCACCGATTTAGCAGTGCCCATGACTGGTGAACAGAGGAACGCATGCGGAAGGGACATGTAAAAGGGCATGCCTTCATATACAAAGGCACTCACATATTAACGGATTGAGAGAGATGTGCACAGTCATTGGGCGAATTGGCTCATTAATTTTCTCTGCTGCTAATCTCTGAGCTTGGCCGTGAGAAGGTTGGTGTTTTCGGCCTGTGAGTCGGCTATTCGACCTTTTTGACCACGTCTCCTCTGCTTTCCGCTTTGCCGTTTCCATCTCCCTACTGCCTTTTGTAGCATTTCCTAGTGTTTTCAGAGTATTCACCGCAAGCAAATCTATGCTGTCCGGCTACAGGATGAACAAACTCAGCGGCTGAAAAGTGAATCGTAATAGCAAGAAAAGCTCATGTAGAACTGTTAGGATCTAGTTTAGATGGTGTATCTTCAGCAAAACCATAAATATTGACTTAAAATTATAGATCTATTAATAATCGTATTAAAACCAAAACATGAGCCTGCCATAGTCTCCTTTGTTGGGGATTTGATAGCCGACACTGACCGATCAGCAACGAAAATGAGGTTATATGAGATGTATTCACTCAATTTCGTTTAAAGTGATGAAGGACTGGTAGGAGAATTTTCCCACGACGATATGAGTAGAGCTGACGTTCCAATTGAATTTCACATAGGCTTGCTTTTCCAAATGTTGTTCTCATCCAAGGTGGACTGGAGTTTCAACCTCGCATCGGTCTTATCAACACCCCCAGCGGGATTCGAACCGTGACAGTGCAGAATGGGAGTTTGACACGTTAGACACTCGGCCACATTGCCACGAGTGCCTTTGGGTCACAGGGCAAATGTGAATTTCAAGGAAGGTCAGGCCTTTTGTCGTATCATATTCTTCATCACCTTGAACGAAATTGGGTGAATACATCTCATATTACTGATTTACTGGTAGTCTCGAAACAATACTTAAATGCGAAAAATAAAGTAACCTACTCTATTGTTATGGCAAATATACGTTTGCTTCATCGACAATCCCACCAAGGAATATGATATGATAAAAGGCCTGGCCTTCCTTGGAATTCACATTTGCCCTGTAACCCAAAGGCACTCGTGGCAATGTGGTCGAGTGGTTAACGTGTCAAGCTCCCATTTTGCACTGTCACGGTTCGACTCCCGCTGGGGATGTTGATAAGACCGATGCGAAGTCGAAACTGCATCCACTCCGGATGAGAAAAACTTTTGGGAAAGCAAGGCTATGTGAAATTTAATGGAAACCTTAGCTCTATTCATATCATTGTGGGAAAATTCTTATACCAGTCCTTCATCATCTTAAACGAAATTGAGTGAATACATTTCATATTACTGGTTTACTGGTAGTCTCGAAACAATACTTAAATGCGAAAAATAAAATGAGGTCATTTCAAAAGAACCCTCTCTCTTAAACGGATGCTGCATGCCCATCTAAGCCTCCTCAACTAACTTGTAGCCGGTAGGAGGAACGACAGAAGGCCTGCAAATAAGTTCCTTACATTTTTCAACTTACGCCGCAGTCTGATGCCCAAGAGTCTAAACACTGCACCAACACTTCTTTCTGTTAGAATCCGTTATTTCCTTACCATTTGCAGAAAAGAAAAATCACAATTTGGTGGTCCTATTCCACAGATTTAAGCGGACCTTGAGTTTACTTCATAATCCTTTGCCTATCTTCAGCTCTAGAGTATATTCATTAATACAGATTTAATTTAGTTTGCGTAACTTGATCGTGTTTACAAGGCAAACCAGATGAACATACCTTATACAAAGTGCTTTGCAATATGGGTCAGGATAATTTCCAGCATCGGACAGTGGACTTAATATACTCACAGGAGTTTCACCGGGATCATCAGTGCGTTTTGTCATTCTTATAACCAAGCTACAACTCGTCATAGAGACAAGTGAAATCTATACCCTGATCGATTCTGTGCCGAACTATTGTGTTATTACTCCTCAATTTGTCCTCGTAAATCTACTTACCTTCTATCCTCACACCTCAATGTCTCTTTATAGCGATCTCTAACACTTCTAGCGTAGTCGAAGAGATACAAGTTAAAAGTTGTCATGGAGAGGAAGTGAGATATGAAGATAGAGGGTAGGTGCGTTTCGATCCAAAAGTTTGACTTCACTACCAAAAATTGTGTTTATTTCATCATCTACAAAATACTCATACAACCTCCTATCTAGTTGATAATTTTCAAACAAGATTACATAATTTTTCACTAATATATAAGTCAGCTAATGTAAGTCAACAAAATTTTATTTGTATTTACTTAAATTAAGCTCTTGGTATGACCACCTTTTGTCTCAATCACCCCTTTAACTCTGCCTGGCGTCGATTTTACACGTTTTTTCAGAATTTAAGAATCCACAATATTCCAGCTTTCTTGTTAATAATCCCAGAGAGTCTCTTGTGATGGTTAAATATGCTTCACTTTTCAATTGGGTTGAAATCTGGTGACTGTAGCGAGAAAACTATGCAAATCAGAAATCCGTGCTCTTTCTTTAACTTTATATAGGCCTGGCACAACTTCGCTGCATTTTTGGGATCATTGTCCTGCTGAAAGTAAATCCTTTTCTACATGTCTTTAACGTGAAGGGATGGCCTTACTCTGCAGAATGTTCCTCAAAAACGTGTAGAATCGATGCGAGATATAGCATAAGAAGAGATTAAAAAAACGTGTGATCCTATCATATATTTAAATATTTTGATTTTTAGTAAATGCAGAATAACTTTTATTGACTGACATTAGTTGGTTCACCTATTATTGAAAAATTATGTAATCCAGCTAGGAAATTATTAAATGAATAAAAATGTGTATTAGTCTTTTAGAAATGATTAGATAAACACAGTTCTTTGTGGTGCACTCTAACTTTTGGGCCCTAACATACATACACCAAATCCTGGTAAGG